AACCCCTCCACAACTTTCTCCTTGACTTGTCAATGTTACTAGTCTTAATTTGGTTTAAAGCAGTGTACAAATCGCACCTCAAAGATGATGAGTTTTCCTTTGAAGATAGCCAGGAAGTGGCGAGGCTCCTTTCCCATCACCACTCGCACCTGGACAGGGGCTCCGTTGTACATGTTGTCAACGGTGACCGCCTGGTAGGCGCAGGCTGTGATCTCATCTCTGGTGGCATGGCGACCCTGATGCAAAAGATTTACGGAAATAAATAAGCACAAACAGAGGGTTTGTAGGTTTGTTTGTACGATAGGAAGAAAGACTTTGAATTGTTTTCTTATGAAACTGACCTGCCACATGTAGAGTATGTACTGCTCTCTGTTTGACACGCGGTATGTGTACAGCACCAAGTAGCAGTCGCCTCCATAAAACTGCCCGTGCATATTTGGCTGGACCTCAGCCAGTTCCAAATTCTCAATGCGCCACACCTGAAAGGGAGAAAATAAGTCTTCAGATTTTATTTCTTCCTTATGGCAGTCCTAGTATGACTTGTAATGGTTTTATATTTTTACATCAAAGTGTGTACTTTGTACCTTCACTTCTCCTGAGCCATCATCAACCAAGTGGTGCTTTGCCGCCATGTCAGGGTGAGCGTGGAGCTCCATCACGTCAAACTTTACCTGCTCAACCTTGGCTGTATGATAACCCAAATGATGTGTTAATAAATAATAATAAAAAAATGAACTCAATTAGTCACCTGCAATTAGGAAAATTATTATCTGAAATAAAATTAAAAATGAATCAAGATTGTACACACAAACAGGTGTCCTGAAAGTGCTGATTGATTCAAGGATGTCATGACCTCACGGATGTTATGTCAAGTTCCAAAACTGTTTTGGCCTGTCTTTCAGAGAATTAAAATAGCTAACGTCCTCTAAGTAATATTTCAGTGATATCTATGTATCAGAGTATGATCCTATGATTTGTCGGGACCCACTACGTCCTCTTCTCGTCTTTTATTTCTCTGCTCTCATCACCTCTTTTATCTTTTAATTTTCTTTTTTACAAATTGCGTCAGGAAAACATTTGCTTTTCATAGTTTGTATTGGTAAATTTTTAACTAAGTGAAAAAATAAATCTCTCTGGCTTGCATTCTTAATGTAAGTACATTGGTTATGAATGGTTGTTGGTGATATTACCTATCTTTCCAACAGTGTGGGTGTTGCCCAGTCCGGTAATTTGCCCTTTTTCCCTCCAGTTTTTGAACAGGTGTTTAAACATGGCTGACTCTCCTCCCTCACTCATCACCTCCACACTGGTGCTGGACGGATAGTTTTTGGTTTTAATGTAGTTCTGGCGAGAAAGAAAACACAAACGTCTCAATTACGGGGCTCGAAAAGACAAATAAAAATGAAGACGCAGACACAATTCAGATTTAGTCTTGAATCATCTTTAGTTTCATACCAGCGCTCTCTTCATAGCTTCTCGACGTTCATCCTTTGAGGCCTTTTTGCCCTTCCAGACCATCACATTAGAGCCGCAGTTGTCCAAAATATAACAGTCCTGACACCAGTGACAAACAAATAATGACATGTAAAATGTCCTATTTTTTCTAACAAGCTTTTTCAGAAGAAAAAGTCAGGAGGATTAAACGTAGTTACAGCGGAGCGGAGCAGATCTTGTGTCAGAGGCTGCACGGCCACCTCTTGGATCACTACGTTGCCAGTGTTGTCATACACGCTGTTGACAGACAGGAGAAGAGTGTGGAAATACGAAATACAATTCTCCGAAATAACATCACAGTCATGATGCGTCAGTGGAACAAAAATATCAAACATTTGTGTTCTTACTGGTAGAGTCGGACGCTGTTGTTCTGCTCCTGGTCATGTTTGTCATCAGAAACAGGCTTCTTCAGCTGGCTGGGTCTTTTGCCGAGCACGTCGGCCATCATTTGTACCACCTCTGGTGTGTCCTTCTCACGTGCTCCCTCCACGACGACGACGTCGGCCCGACCTCCACGCTCCCTGTCCCGAATGTCCTGAGCCAGCAGCACCGCCTGCAAACAAAGTGCAATAGAATAGAATAGAATAGAATAGAATAGAATAGAATAGAATAGAATAGAATAGAATAGCTGCTTTAAATGCACTTCTGCTCATACCTTGAGCTTTTCCCTCCTGTTGCATTCAGGGCCGTTCCACTGTATGATGGTTTTCCCA